GGCGACAACTCAGTCCCGGCTTGTAGTTGAAGATTTATCAGATTCTTCACCGTGTAGCGCCATCGCAATAGCCGCTAATTCCAGATCGTCAAACTTCAACATGATTGTAGTCTAATTACAATACTATTTTTGCTCGGACGAGTATACTGCATCCCGGCGCAACGGTAATTGCTCGGTCGAGGCCCGTCTTCGTAATTTCAGGCACGGGACCGGCTCGGTGACCGTGCTACGGGGCTACGGCCGACACTCCGTGCCATTGCCCACTCCCGCGCGATCAATCGCTGGAACACATATTTAGTTCTGAATTGCCGGTCAAGTGGTTTACATAGAAATAAGTCTTTGTTTTATAAGCAAGGGCAATTCTTGTCTATTTTATGTATATGTCGTCAAAGCATTGATATTACAATTTCACTAATGATATTATAATGGAACGGTAGATTATCAATCGATTTCATCTCTTACAATTTAACGGGCCCGGTCGACGGAGCTTCGCTTCGCGGGGCTCGTACTTCTGAGTGATTCATAAAAAATAACCACGAACCTAACAAGTCCGAGTCAGAAAGTCCCGAGCTCGCTTCGCTAAAAAATTAATAATTACGAGGGATGATCCAAAAGTAATGATAATGAAAATAAAACACGGTAATTAAAGTTAAAATAATTATTTATTTTTCTACATAGTCTCCTAATAAATCAATACATTTAGTCCATCTTTTTTCTAAACCCAGGATTCCCTTTGAAAAAAATTCTTTGTCTTGACCCTCCCAAAACGCTTTAAGGGCCCCTTTTCCCGAAAGTTTAGGCATTTTACGCTCTGAGCCGGCTCGCGCCCGCGTTGCACAGGAGCCGGCGCGATATGAACTTGGGTGACCTATGGAGTATAAATAAATCAGTAGTTCGATTTTGTTAGCTATCCTAGGAATGTTGTTGATAAATAAATTAACTACTTATCCTATACTATTAAACGAGCAATATTTGTATATTTATATATATATATATATATATATATATATATATATATATATATATATATATATATATATATATATTTTAAACGTTACCCCTACACTAGGATTTTCTCCTGTATCGTGGGGGCAGTTTACAAACATAAATTATACAAGTACAAACATCCAGACCCGGAACAATTATTTGTAGGACATACAAATACTTGTTCCGTGCGGGATTCGAACCCGCGACCCCCAGTGCAGCCACTCATTGCTAAGCCACTACGCCACGGAGTCGTCAATATGTATATATATATATATATATATATATATATATATATATATATATATTTAGATGAGTTCTCGAAAACGGCTCTAACGATTGCATGAAAGTTTCAATTTAGGGGTTTACGGGGACGAAAAATCGATCTAGCTAGGTCTCATGTATGGGAAAAATCGTTTTCGCCCGTTTTCGCCCTATTTTCACGCATAAAGATTTACCCGCGCAGTATGTTTCGTAATTTCGCCGCTATTGTTACGTAGCCAAGCGGTTATAGTGTCGGCCTATGAAGTCTACGCTGAAGAAAGGTTCGGGTTCGAATCCCCATTCAGACTTTTTGTTTTCGTTTGATCAATTTTTATTTAGTTTTTTTATTTGTACATTTTTTTGTTGTTTATTGTACTTATAATTTTTTTGTATTTTATTTTTGTATAGAAACGAAATTCACAGAATACATCTACCTACTAAGTTTCAAATATGTAGTCCGAATAGTTTCGGAATAAAAGGCTGTGACACACGGACGGACGGACGTACGGATAGACATACATGACGAATCTATAACGGTTCCGGTTTTTTCCATTCGGCTACGAAATCCTAAAAAGGCTTGAAAAGGCTTCTTTATAATCATTTACAAAAAAATATCCCATTTAGATTGCCAAGGGCCTTGGAGATCGACCCTGGTGATCCGAGGAATTTGGGCCGTGGTATGGGCATAAGAAATCTGCCAATTGAAGAATACAAATATTAATAATAGGTAAAACTGGAATGGAATAAATAAATTTACAAAATTTCAAAAAGCAAAAAAAGTTAATTACTAGAGTTAGTAGGTATGCAAAAATATAGGTGAACGTTACTATAGGATTTAAAATTCTTGTCATACTGACTTCGCTAGTCTGTGTAGCTTAGCTAGATTACAGTAAATTATATTGTGACGAATCCACCCACTAAATAGTGGAACATTAGAATACGAAAATAAAAATTGTCATACTGATTTAGCTAATCTATGTCCCTGTTAAAGTAGATATCTAATTATTCCAATATGTATTTTTTTTATTGTAAATGACCTGTTGATGTTACGCTAGGACTAGGTTATAGGAACTTATAACCTAGCCCTAGCGTAAGTACTTACGCAATACACTTTCGGATCTTCTTCACTTTAGGTAGGCTTTTTTTCCTAATTTTGTATTTTTTATTCGCCATTTTAATTAAATCACAACTTACAAAAAATATTTATTTACAAACACTGTTTTAAAAACATAGGTCAGTATACTTAGATACGGGTATTGTCTTTTTAAACTAATTTCTATTATATTACATATAATACAACAAGTTTTTATGCTAGTAGGTAGGTACTACTACGCGAGCGGCGACGACAACGTAGTCGCGAGCAAAAATAGCACAAGTCCTCCCTCGATGACGTCCGGCTGGACTCTGGCGGCACTGGCGTGGTGCGCGCGAGTCGCTTTTTACGTATTTTATTTTATATGGAAAAAAATAAGTGCCAAATTATAAATCTATCCAATAATATCCCTGTCAAACCTGATTAGTAAATGAAATATAAAATTTTCATAAATATAGCGTTCCCCTAATTCTCATAAAACTGAAAATGCTTTCAAAATCAATGTTACTTCCGATTTTTTTTTATCGAGTTAAATGTTTAATATTGTGTTTTTATCCAAAAAAGTCACTAGATCAAACGTTTATCTGTACTATATATTTTTTTTAGGATTTTAAATATGATGATTTCTTTGAAAACAACACGATTTAGAAACATAAATTTGGGAAAAGGGGCCCTTAACAGCGGCCATTACTTCGCTATCGTCTTCGAATTTCTTGCCTCGGAGGCGTTCCTTGAGCCGAGGAAAGAGGTAGAAGTCACTAGGAGCTAGATCTGGCGAATAGGGAGGGTGTTCGAGCAGTTCGAATCCCGTTTCTTGAATGGCAGCCATCGCAACTGCGGCTTTGTGAGCCGGTGCGTTGTCTTGGTGAAACAGCACTCCAGCTCGCAGTTTGCCGCGTCTTTTTTCCTTAATGGCCTCCCGTAATCTTCTTATTTGGTCTGCGTAGTAAGAGCCCGTAATAGTGGCTCCCTTTTCCAAATATTCCACCATAATTATGCCTTGAGCGTCCCAAAAAACAGATGCCATAACCTTTCCCGCCGAACTTGAAACTTTGAATTTCTTTGGCGTCGGTGAGGGGGCTCGCTTCCAAGTCATCGATTGTTGTTTCGTTTCAGGATCAAAATGGTGGATCCAGGTCTCGTCCATAGTCACAAACCGGGACAAAAAATTTTCTTGATCTGCTTGGAACTTTTCGAGATTGACCCTCGAAATGTCAACTCGATTTTTCTTTTGCTCGTCGGTTAACATTCTGGGTACCCAACTCGCAGAGACCTTTTTCATATGCAACTCGTTCGCAAGGATTCTTTGAACGCTGCCATATGAGATCCCTGTGACCTCAGCTACATGCCTGATGGTCAACTCTTGGATCTGCCAACACAACATCTTCGACATTTTTCACGTTGTCTTCAGTGAGGGACGTGGATGGGCGTCCTTCGCGATGTTCATCTTCAGTGGATGTTCTGCCCAGTTTAAACTCCTTGGCCCAGCCTGCAACTGTAGAATAGAGCAGAGTCCCCCAATGTTTCCACTAAGTCACTGTGTATGTCTTTTGAAGACATTTTTTTCAAACAGAGGTACTTAATGACAGTTCTGTTTTCGTTTTTCTCCATGTTGATGTTATCTCTTTGACAGTTCGTATTCAAATGAATGTATCTCCCGGAAATCGTGATCTATTTATATGATTTTTTTAGGCTGACGTAGTGAGTATATAAGCAAGCAAAAAATATTTTTTTTGGATTTTTATGCGGACCTGAAGTAACCGATTATCATTACTTTTGGATCACCCCTCGTAAACATTATTATGTAATTTTCTTTACAAAAATCCGCCATAAAAAAGAAGATTTAAAATAAATCATCGAAATCGGATGATTTTTCGATTTTCTAGAACTAAAAAACGAGGGGACCGCGAAAGTATGAAATTACCTTTTTAAATTATACGCGATAAAGTCGATTGATAATCTTTTTTTTTTATAGGATAGGGTGACAAACGAGCACACAGTCCACCTGATGGAAGTGGTTGCTGTGGCCCATAGACATCTACATCTATCTTCGGTTGCGAATCAAAATGCAGATGCGTTGTCACCCGTGAGGACTAAGATGGAATGCCTCGTTTCCAGTAAAAAGGGTCTCCAGTTCTCTACACTCACCATACGAAACACAGCAGCATTAAGCTACTATTTCACGCTGGTATTCTGTGAGAGCGTGGTCCTTCCCCGGTCGAGCCGACCCATTCGTGCTACAACTATACTACTAATATAACTGCAGCATGGCTATACCACGTACAAAATCTACCGTTCAATTATAATATCACTCGTGAAATTGTAATATCACGGCTTCGACAATATACTTGCGATGACATGTAATTGGTTCCTGGTCAAAGCTCTAACGTTTCAGTTGAAATTTTGTATTTAATTTACTTCCGAAGTTGATCTTGAAAATTATACTTTTTTTAACGCTGAGCAAACCTCGGCCGCCCAGGTACTTATATTAAAGATAAGAAAAATAAGAATTAATATTCTGTAAGAGCGTGGTGCTTCTCCGGTCGAGCCGACCCATCCGTGCTACAACATCCGTTAAAAAAATCAACTAAAAGTATAGTATATATATAACATAAGGGTAGATATCGATATTGTTTAACTTAAGGAACGTATGTTTCAGCGCTGTACGAAGATGAGTCTGACAACGATCTGGGCTCGATGGAGAACCACGGCTCCGTCGTTACACATCTGCTGTCACAGGTCAAGATCGGAATGGATCTCACTAAGGTACGGAAAGGCTTCAGTTTCATTAATTTAATTAATTTTTTGTTAACAAATTGTTGCCTTTTTATATTAACTAAGTAAACAAAATCCTAATTAGAAATGAAAATTTTAAAATAAATATGTATTGTTACTTGTTTTGTAAATTGTATCTGATGTTATTATTAAATAAAAGGATAATCTTCACGAACACAAAAACTATGTTTATCAACTTCAGTTATTGAGATGGATTAAAAAGTAAAACAAAGCGGACATTGCCAATAAAAAGGAAAAAATAAGGTATACAGTAATATCAACTTAACAAGGAAAATATTCAGTAAAGCCAACCTTAGCAAAATGTATAAACATTGTCATATTCAACAGTATCAAAATGTTATAATTTGCCAGGTATAAATCTTTTTCTGTCCAGGAGTCCGTGTGGGTCGACATCACCCACTTATAACTATACTTGTGCCTATTTCTGCCGCAAAACTGCAGCGGCCTCCACTGCTGCGTTGTGGGGTGTGTCCGTGTGTATAAAGAGCCACTATAAGTACAGGCTGTGGTGAGGCATTCCATCTTAGTCGTCAGAGTAGACAATGCATTCATGGGCTGCAGTAGCCAATTATCATCATATGGTCTATATTATTTAAAAATATCATATAGATTCAATTCAAATTCAAAAAAAGCTTTGGAAGCTCCGGGGCTAAGCGCTGTAAACTGCACGGTACGCGAACAATCCGGGCTCGATCCGATTTATTGCAATTTTAAGTGCTGTTTTAACACGTGCTCGGCGGTAAAAGAAAAAAAACGTCACTTGAGTGTTGGGCGACACTATGCAACTACTTAGGGCCACCCTTGGCTAAAGTTACGGATTAGCTACTTTAACGAACGCATAGTGTCGGCGGACATGCCAAATTCATAACCTCAAAATAATAAAGCATAAGCATTATATATAGCACAAATTATAAAGTTGTATGTGGAGTATATAATTTTTGTCTTTTGTGTATTTCAGTACTACCAAGTTTAAATAAAAATGAGTGGTAGTGATGAGGAATTTGATAATTATTTGGATGAACAAGTGACTCGCCAAAAAAGAGTTACAATAAGACTTACCTTATCAGGGATTTTCAAAACCTTTTATAATATTATAGTGAAGTGGAATTTGCTTTTAAGTGCCAGTGGTTATGGCTGCCAAACATATCTATTGACACCAATTCTATGACCAGAATCGGATGCTGAACAAATTATAATAAAGCTCATATTAAGACCAGAAATACTGTTGAGAGAACTATAGGTGTTTGGAAAAGAATTTTCCCATGTTTGTCAAAAAAAAAAACTACACAATTTATATAATATTTGTCGTTTGTATAATGAAATTGAATAAAATATCGAACCACCAGTAATAAGAGTTGACAGAAGGAATGCCGAACCATTCAACAGACAGAGATTACTTTTTGGGAGAATGTTTATTGAACGACATTTTTGAAATGTATTTCAAATTTAACATGACATTAATTTTTATGAATATTGTATATTATTGTAATTTTGTAATTTAGATAATTTTATTATGTAAATAAAACAATTTTCACATGAACATTTTGAATAATTTAATTTTTTTTTAATATAGCTATTTCTAACTTAAGTTTTTTGATTTCTAAATTGTTTTTTCCTACTTGAAATGCAGCTTGCTGTGACTCTTTTTCCAATATTATTTCTTCTTTTTTGATCAATATCTTTTCCCTCTCGACTCTCCATTTATGTACTTCTGAATCCTGCTCTATATTTTCCCTGCACCGTTTCACCCGCACTTGAACTTCACTGGATAGCTTATCGTTGTAATCTGAAATAAAATAAGTACAAACTTAAAGGTTTGTTTTGTAGTGGTAGTAGGTAGGTTTTATTACGTTCCGTAAACGGCGCGGTACTCGTTTTACTAAGTGGGCTCATGAATTATTAATACATTATAATCAATTCTAATATTATACAAGCAAGTGTGTCTGTTGTCATCACTACATAGGTCAACTACTGAATGTTATCTTGACAGAATTTGACACAAAGAGCTTGCACCCACTTGAGAAAAGGGCCATCTCTTGGCCCTTTTCTCCTGGAAAATCAGTTTCCTTGTGATTTTTAAAAACTTAAATACACATATCCAAACTGTCAAAGTCTTGGGTATCTGCTAGAGTCACAATTTACGTAAACTTGTAAGTAGATAGTGTATGTAATGGAAACCTAAAAACTTCCTTGAATGATGAATTTATGTTTGCCTACTTCATGTCCCCCCGTACATAAAAATATTACATATACTTGTAACTGTACCTGTTAATGTTTTTAAAGACAAAAGTCATTTTCTCCTCTTGCTTAATTTTAAACTTTCTGGCTTTGACATACTCTCTACGAATTCATTGTCTGCAAAAAACAAGAAGTTAATACTCAAAAATAAATCATGTTCACAAAAGAAGATACTTTAAATGTCCGGATATAATTTATTTTCTTGTGCATATTTATTTTAAGTAACATTTTAACAATACTACAAATAGCAATATTACCATGTTCGTTTTCTTTGTATATTTTCTCTGGAGTATGTATTTCCACAGAACTCAGGTTTACTGCGAACAGAATCAATAATTTTGCTTAAATTCCAAAAAATGCCGTTATAGTATATAATTCTGCTGTTACTTACTATAAAGTAAGTAAAATGCAAGCTTTGTTGCAAGTAGTGATGTAAACAAAACAAAGAATAAAGCTTCATCCTTACTAATGCTTAATATGTAACAAATCTCTTACCTAGGGCTGTGTTTGAGTCAATGATTCCAGGTACAGTCCGATTTATGTATGGACAAATACTATCTATGACGTTTTCTATAGTGCCCGCTTCACCAACTCCAACTCCAGTCTATATCAAACTCCCAGCTTCCATTGGCAATTCCTTCTTACGACAACTTTTTACATTTTCCCAGCATCTCTTTAGCTATAATGCCGTTCTCTTGATTGCAAAAGTTATAGCATTGTAGGCATTTTCATTTTCATCCCATTCCACGCTCTTGGGCTCAATGTTTCTGGTATTTGTATATTTGTTTTCAATAATAGGACGTACACTCACCAAACGTATGAGTAGTTCTTTTGAGGCTGAGGAAAAAGTTATTTTTTTGAGCTAAAAATTAAAATAATGTATCTATGAATGAATTATCAAGAAACTCGCATAAAATAAACATTACTGAGAAAAATCCTTTGAGTTTCCATTTATTTCCACTGTTAGCCGGAGATGTTATTTCCATTATCACAAAAATTATAATTGGTATTCAAGCTAAAATTTTACTTAAAACATTGTTACACAAATCATTTTGCAAAAATCAACATATGATTTGAGGTTATGTACTGATTGATATTTGACGTTTGAATAACAACTTGAAGCTAGCCCCGAAACCGACCAATCAAAACGTCGAATCCTTCCCTAAGCATTCACTGAGTGAAGAAATACTTAAGTGTTGACTATGAAACAAGTCTGGACATCTCCAACACTATGAGAAATCGGACACTTCGCAGTGAGAACCAACACACTTACCTAGAGGTGGTTCTTGAATACGGGCGTAAAATTCATATAAATTTGAAGACAATCTACTAACACGCACTGGGGGAGCTCGGCAAACATTTGCTGGCCCTAAAACCTTCTCAGAAACGAGATAAGTGGGAACAATGTACAGAATATATACAAAAATGTACAGAATATATTATTATTTTCTGTACTTTAATTAAAAACGTACAAAAATAAAATAAGTTAATTCCAAACGTTACTTTGTTTATTTATTATAAAGTCGATATCGTTAATATGTATTTGGATGCTAATTTAAATCTGGCAAAGAAAATAACAAAAAACGTAAGCAGATTTTTGCAATCGATATATCGAAAATTCTTTTCATACATTGCTTTAGGGTTTTGGTTTAAACTGCAATGGAAAACGGAGTGACCAACGAGTCAGTCCACCTGATGGTAAGTAAGAACTGCATCCTGTGAAAACCCCGCAACTTGAAACAAAGAAGGCCGCAGATACATTGTTACAGACTTACTGATACGTTGCAGACACCACTAGCCTCTAAATGAAATCACTCAGAACAATAAACACTGCAGCAATGACAGCCTCACAATTCGTATTCACACGGACTCCAAGACGTAAAAGTAGTAACAACCATCACGTAGTAAACATAGAACGCAACAGAAAATCAAATTATATCAATTGCCGGGTTTAATAATTCGAAGGAAAAGTAATTGGTGTAAACCAACACAATAATCGTTTGTCCCTTTAAAAACTATCGCAACGCACTTTTATTTTACTAATAAAGACATCAGTAAAATATATTCCATGGTGATATGGAATGTGGAACAGATTAATTAATTAATATAATAAAATATAATAACTGCTTGTTACCAAAGAACAACTCCAGTCTGGTAACAATTTTATTTTAAAATATCAAATATTGTTAAATTGGGTCTCTTTCAAAGAGAGATATACAGACATATTTTATATCCTATCGTAAATATAAATTATGTGATATTTTATATCTAAACGTCATTTTTGGCACTGCCGTGATACGCCTTCATTTTTAGCAATAACAATTTAAGTAAAATAAATACATATAAAACATAGCAATAATGAAACGTTTTATAAATGGCGGCCTTTTTTAACGTGTACAGTCAGAAAAAACAACTATCTAATTATTTTCAAACTATTTCAAAAGTTTATAAGTTTTTAAACCTGATATCCGTAAAAATGGATGAGGTTATTAAATAGACCGTATTTTATATGTAACATACCATACAAAAAATTCTTAGTCTTATCAAATTGCTAAAAAAGAATATTTATTTGCTACCCATAGGGGTGGAATTATTTCGCATTATTTAATTTAAAAAAATTAACATCGGTTCTCAATCTGCGAAGATATCATGTAGAATTCTTTAAACAATAGTCCAATATGAGAGAAACTCTTCCCCTATTTTCCACCCTTGACAGCGGAATTTTTTCTTAAAAATTTAATGAGACCACCGTTGAGGTAAAGTCTATTTCATAAAAAAAGAATCATTAGAATCGGTTTACAATCTGCGAAGATATCGCGTAACGTACATACAAAAACATACACTAGAATTGAGAACCTCCTTCTGTTTGAAGTCGGTTAAATATTACGTAATTTGAAGTAATTCGACACTATAGAGTTAGAAGCACGATGGATGATACGAATTCATTTTCTTCGAAATATTTTACAATATTTTCGAGTGTCGCTACACAGAATCCTTTCCGCATTTTCGAGAATACGTTGTTCGACAAAACCAATAGTCGATAGAGGATCAAAATAAATACTGGATCACGTCAGGATAACTATATTCGAAAGGAAATCTTATTTTAATATTTGTTTTTGTTAATTTGTTTAGAAGATAATTTTTTGCGTACGGTGCTTGGGTGTACGAGTATATTAACCGATAGTGCGGAGAGAGAGAGAGCTCGTAGCTTCAGCCGCCATTTGTAGAACGCTTCTTTAATGACGCAACTTATTTATGTTTTTTGGTAAATACGGTTAGAACTGAAATATCAATTTAGCAGTCCTATACTTGCGCGCACGGTATATTAAAATTGTATCTATTCTCAAAATAGTTGGATTAAGCAGACTTTAATATCTACCAAGCTATTTATGTGTGTTTTTTTTCTAGGTTGTGCTGCCCACATTCATACTAGAGAGGCGATCGCTGCTCGAGATGTACGCCGACTCTTTCGCGCATCCTGACCAGTTCGTCAAGTTGGTATCCATTTATTTATTGACGAGCCTAAAAAGTGTTTCCCATTTTTGTTTAATATTTTATAGGGTTGTGAGTTGCGAGCTCTTCCTATAAAATGTCTACCTTCATCTCAATCACCTGCATCACTCTGCAAAATCTCCTGTTGGACATGACTCGATTCCTTTGTAAGAAGGATTTGCCTTAATCGTCAGGCACCGCGGGAAAAGACGATCTCATTACCGGACATCTCATCACATTATTGATGCTGCTGTCTGAACAACAGCATTTTACGCGTAACGTAAAGAGATACTAATAAGTTTATGTATCGTAAACCATAAGATCTTTGTGGCGTTTACCATAGTCACCCCTTACGACTCCCGAGAGACGAATAAGAATGATAGTTTCTTTTATATCCCCGACGATGATGTGAAGCCTGAGTAAATCAGAATGATGAAGTAACAGCCCATCTAGGGTTAAATAAGAATTCGCAACTGCGTTCCAGGAATTGCATTAATGTACAGGGTAGCAGATTAAAAAATTGTAACTCAGATGCAAAACGCTCTTCGTAAATGTCATAGTACACAAACAAAGGTTTATCCCAGCAGACCCGGTACCAACACAGTTGTTATATGCTGTGGGTTAAAGGGAAATATCGTGAGATTATGCCTGGGAAATAAAATATTCCTTTAAAGTTGGAAATCGGCCATCACACACTGGAGACTAGCTGCTCCAAAGCCCTCTTAAAAATGAAGGCAGGCTTGTGCCCAGTGCAGACCAGGCAAGCACAATTTGACGTATATACTGTATGACCTTTTCTACCGTCTGGAAAAAATAGGGTGTAACGTGTGAACGGAATAGAAACCTATGAAACTAATATTTTACAATTTTTATTTTAACTTTATATTAATATATTATAAAATTGATCCCTACACTCGCCATATGAAACACAGCAGCATTAAGCTGCTATTTGACGCTAAACTGTACTGAGTTTATCGGTATCTATCCCTCGTTCTAGAATAGTTGACATGCCCACGCCTAAGGAGCGAATGGTGCAAGTGGTACGGTGGTACTTGAGCTCGTTCCACGCTGGTCGCAAGTCGCAAGTTGCCAAGAAGCCCTATAACCCCATATTGGGGGAGGTGTTTCGCTGCCATTGGGATCTGGACGGCTCTACCGACACACAAAATACATCCACTGAAAAGGTTTGTTCTGCAGATTGTCAGATAGTTTTATTTGAAATTTTTACGTAATCAAAAATATACGAAATGTGGCTCATATACTTCTTTGTTATAGAATGAGTGTGACAAACGAGCACACAGTGCACCTGATGGTAAGTGGATGCTGTGGCCCATAGACATCTACATTTATCTGCTATTTAGAATCAAAACGCAGATGAGATGCGTTGTCACCCCCGAGGACTAGGATGGAATGCCTCATTTCCGGTAAAAAAAGGGTCTCGTACTAGTATAATCTTAATAGTACCTGGATGACCGATGTTTGCTCGGTTTTTTTTTTAAATTACATTTAGATACAAATTACATACTGATAAAACATGAATAATATTTTTTGATCTTATTGACATAATAGAAAAAACTGAACTGGTTATTTGAATAAAAAATCATGAGTGCTTAGTTAGAAATTTTCGTATTTTAAAAAATACTAAAAGAGGGCTTAAAATAATAGATTTTCTCACGAAAGAAGGGAACTTGAAAGAAAAAGGAAAAAAAGTCGGACCGATAACAGGACGCGCACCGAGGCATTACGATTTCGCGACCGCTCGATATCCATTTGAGCTATTACGATCATTAACACGTTCTTAAAATTTACCTTCTTATATTGTAGCAGTTTTTCATTGCCTGAAAACACGGAGAAAAAGACATTTTCTAAAAATAAATCCTAGCTAGATCGATTTATTGCCCTCGAAAATGGTTACAAAATTTTATGAAAATCGTTGGAGCTGTTTCCGAGATTCCGATTATATATATATATTTTTTTTTTTAATAACATTGTGAGGGCTGCGCTTACGAGGGTGCGAGTACGTGCTCGGACAGCTATAAGCTTAGTCAATACGAAATAGTGAGCAGCAAAAAACCCAGCGGGACTTCTTTACATACTTGTTCCGTGCGGGATAAAAACCCACGCGCCGCAATTCAAGGATAAGCCACTACACCACGGAGCGGTCAAATAATGGGACAAAACTTGCCAAATTACAAAAACAGCCATAAGTAAAACATGCAGCATAGATTACTTGGAGTATAATATAATCGATTTTTGCGCTTCCGTATTAGTCTCACCATACCTGAAATCCACTTCTTTACCTTCCAGCATGAGGTAGGCGACGGTCCGGTTCCATGGTGTTCGCCGGACCAACTGTCGTTCGTCGCGGAACAAGTGTCCCATCATCCACCAATAAGCGCCTTCTATGCAGAGCATGTGAATAAGCGCATCCAGTTCGAAGCCTGGGTGTGGACGAAAAGCAAGTTCCTCGGCTTGTCCATTGGCGTGCACAACATTGGGCGCGGTGTCGTAACGCTGCTGGACCTCGGGGAAGAGTACAGCGTCACGTTTCCCAATGGATATGGACGGTAGGCACATAAATCTTACTTTTAATCGTACTTTTTTCAAACGTTACTCCACACAAGGGTTTCCTACGATATAGGAGAAATATCGTGGAGGCAGTTTATAAAAGTTCCACGAGGACGAACATCCAGATCCAGAACAATTATATGTAGAGCACCCAAATACTTTTCCGTGCGGGATTCGAACCCGCGCACCCCTGCGCTGCAGTTTAATGCGAAACCATTGCGCCACAGAGCCGTACATACCTCTCTACTGCATTTATCACACACTACAATTTTACAATACACGTAAATGTACCATGCGCCGTGGTTATTGGTCATTTGTGCGTACTATACTGATTTGTTGTTTAACTAGTTTTGTTCAAAACTCTAAACCGCGTTTTTTTTAAATGACTAGTAAATCTATTATTTAACATTACTAATATTCCTTTTCGCCACTCCTGGTAAGCTTAAAACGTTTGTGTTAGGAGTAGTTCACGACAGTAGTCAAATGGCGGATTCGAACCCACGATCTTTTGAATTCTATGAAAGCTTATGTCTTTCCTCATTTACAATTTGAAGTCCAACAAAGATTGATTCAACTTGCTATTATTTTTCTTCTAATATAGTAACGTAACCGCATGTCACAATCAACTGCTGCACAGTATACAGGCGCTGTTAGGAAACTGCTGCTCATCTCCTTGTTCGTTTCCCTGTGTAACAACACCCACGGAACGATATGTAGTTGGTAGAACGGTAGTGGATATTCTTTTACCGCCACTAAACTGCTCTACTATTATAAAACATATTTTTGTCTGTTCGACTGTGCGTTCGTTTATGCACACGTCGTAACGTTCCGTCGTCGCAGCGGCAACGCACAGTTACGGTGAGCATTTTGTAAAAACATCGCAGTCTATTCGGAAACATGGATCAAAAAAGACGTCTAGCATTGCACATATTACCCTAGGGTCAGTTCACACGGCGCGTTGCGTCAGCGTTGCGTTGACGTAGCGCTGTCACTCGTTTTACATACTGGGTATGTTCCAAAATAGAACCCAGTGTACTGTCCAATGCAAATGACGTCATGAATCGACGCTATACTGGTGATTCGTTCCAAAACATAGGGCAGTATATGACGTCATACATTTGCGCCATATTGGGTTTTTTGTGCTAAATCATTATATCCGCCTAATGGAGATACCAACAATTATTATATAATTTTTTATATTGGAATAAATAGAAACAAATTCTGGCACGCTTCATTCAGCGCACACACAATTAAAAATTGTTTTATTATGGCCGGATATCCGACACAATATGGCAGCGGTACGCCTGTACAATATACATAGTGTCAACTGATGACGTTATTTGTATTCGACAGTATACTGAAAACGTTTCGGAACATACCCACTATATAATAATCATAGTGTTCACACGGTACGCTGCGTGAACGCAACGCGCACACAACTGACTGAAAACTCCCGAGACGAAGGGGAAGGGGTGTACTGCTTGCGACGCCGGAGCGGCAGCGCTCAGTTGTTTGTGCGTTGATAGTACGCAAGTTAATTTCGTTTTTTCGGTGAGTTTAGTTTCCAGAGTAAAATGAGTACCGTTAAAGAAATTGTTATGGATTACTATTCGTAGTGAATGAAAAATAAAAAGATGTTAAATATTCGAAACTGGACACACTCATTCTTAAGAAATTATAAAACTTATTTTCGTCCAACAGCAACTCCTGATATTCTAACAAAAAAAAACTGTCCATCATTATTTCTTAATGAACTTAAGAGACAGATCCAATACCGTCTTATGTGCAATGCTTTTTTTTTAATTTGCGTATAATATTATATATACATTCCTATTTCATCACTGTCTTCTCGCCAGCGCCATTTTAGTTGATGTTAGTCTATGTTTTAATTTTTTTATGGAATAAGGGTCAAAAACGAGCACACAGCCCACCTGATGGTAAGTGGATGCTGTGGCCTACATACATCTACATTTATCCTCAATTAACAATAAAAACGCAGATGAATTGTCACCCCTGAGGACTAAGATGGAATGCGTAGTTTCCAGTAAAAAAAGAGTTTTACGGATCTTTACACCCACCATCCGAAACACGGCAGTATTAAGCTGGTATTCTGTTAAAGCGTGAACCTTCCCCGGTCGAGCCGACCCTTTCGTGTTACAACCATCATATCTATACCACATATAATTTAATCTACATCTTTTTCGGTGTTTGGTCATGTAGAAAGAATGAACGAGGAAAGAGTGACAAAGCAAATTTATATTGTAGATGTGAACAGTAGCGTCGGGAAGGGACGCCCTAGACGAAGGCCAGATTAGGAGTGCTCTTAACCGACGAGCGTGTATGCCTAGATATATGGATGTAAAGTATGTGAGGATCGTGCTACATGGAACTCCGTAGTCTCTGCCTACCCCTGTGGGTGTCAGGCGTGAGTTTTTATGTTTATTCAAGACAAAAATGTTCTTTTTTTAACTTCTTATCCTTTGTTTGCAGTTCGATACTCACAGTTCCATGGATCGAGCTCGGCGGTCAGGTGTCAATAGAGTGTCCGCAAACGGGGCACAAGGCGAACGTTGAATTCCTCACGAAACCGTTTTACGGGGGCAAGAAGCATCGAGTCACTTGCGAAGTGTTCGCTGGCAGTGATAAAAAGCCGTACTACACAGCTCAGGGCGAGTGGAATTCCAGGATGGACGGCAGGTGGACAGAGTCTGGGGTGAGTATTTTTTAGCTCCATTGTAGAGTTAAGACTTTATAATTTCGTTCTGTTTTTTCTGTCCTGTGTACAGCACCACTTTTAATGATTACAAAAAATATTGTTAATAAACCGGCTGTTAAAAGTATAAAAATAAATGTGACCAGGTAACCAAATAAATAATATATTGATCTTTCTAAATAAATAAATAAAAATAAATAAAATATCTTTATTACAGGCAACAGAAAGCCCATATAATATGTTAGTAAAATTGAAGTGAAATGAAATATAACTATTACGAATTTTAGTGTTAGTAATCAATTTAATTTAAATAAATATAATAAACACAGATATAAATTAAGATTTTGAGATATCCGCTAAGAGGGCACCGGCATTTTATACCTTGGCATGAAGCCGTATCCAGTGCTCAAGCAGCGGCGAGTCCCATCTATCTGCCATTATGTTAAGAATGCTATTGGGGCTGCCCCGCAAACGCTTCAGCATCGATGCAACACGCTTTCTAATAATGGCGTGGAAACCATCAGTGTGCATTTCAGTGAACATTCCTGACGCACTGCAAAAGCGAGGCAACCCCATCAGCATCCTAAACCCATTATTACACTGGACACGCAACGCGCTGTGCACCCGCTGCGTATAGTTAACCCATAGGTTGCCCGTGTAAAAAGACTGGCAGTAGACTTTGAAAATAGTAATCTTTACCTACCCACTGCAACGAGCAAACCTTCGGGCCACCATGTTACATCGGATGGACAGCGCCCTGCGTTCCCGCTCGATATCCATATCATCACGCAGATTCTCAGTGACCCAGTGACCCAGATACTTAAAATGTGAGACACGCTTTAGAGGTGAGTTGTTGAGTGTGAAGGTAGTCGCACTTGGTCGGGATTTGACTCCTGCCTTGAACACCATGAATTCACTCTTTTTCACATTGTATCGGAGTCCATGGGACACTGTATATGCTTCACATACTTTTAATAGCTTTTGCATGGCACCAATCGAAGGGCTGAGCAGCACCATGTCGTCTGCGTAGCTTATTTTATTAATACATACACCATCGATATGACAGCCTACATTTGTTCCGCTCAGCTCGTCGATCAGCCCATTAATGTACATATTGAAGAGCCTAGGAGATGTAAGACCACCTTGCCTCACCCCACATTTAAGTCTATATACATCAGAGTATGAGCTCGCCCATCTAACACAGTTGCTCTGCCGCTCATACCACGATCGTAGCACCGCAACTACCTCGTGCGGCACATCAGTCTCATTTTGAAGTTTTTTCCATAATATGTCATATGACACCAAATCGAAGGCCATGGACAGGTCAAGAAAACAGGCAAAAACTGGAGTGCTCCTATCAGTGTAGTATTTGACAGTTTGCTTGAGACACAAGATAGCGCTTTCGGTGGACAGACCTGGTTGAAAACCAAATTGCGCATCATTAAATTTTAAATAACCACTTAAGTGTTGATCAAGCAAACTGTCCAGCACCTTTGCCACCACAGTAGCCAGTGAGATTGGTCTGTAATTTGCCAAGTCCGATGGATGCTCCGACTTGTTCTTAATAACAGGCACAACAATGGTTCGCATAAGGTCATCAGGCAGGTAAGAGTGGCTGAGACAGAGGTTATATAACAAAGAAAGAAAGAAAGGGTCTTACCCTTGGTAGATGGATTCCTGCGCACTGCAGATGCTCTATGCTGAGATAGTCGTGACCAGGCGATTTACCCCGTACCATGCTCTTAATTACGCGGTCCACATCCGTCGCCGAGAATCTAACTTTAATTTGGTCAGCACGACGCCCATCATCACACATCGCAGCTGCAGGCCCAAGAGGCGAGCTCACCCTGAAGTGATCTTGGAAGGCCTTAGCTATCTCACTGTGCTCATGAAAGCCAGCGACGCTCACCGGAAGGCTCAATGTTGAGTTTAATTTATTTGTAGCTTTCCAAAAGCGCTTAAAATCGTTACTAACACGGTGTTGTGCAATCATGTCTAAAGGTTTAGTTATAGAAGAAAAAATTTTTTCGCGGTTTAAGCATAGAATAAATCAACGCCATCTCTTAAATACTCATGAACTACCACGAAATAAGTGTTTTCACTTATGTTTTTGGTTTTACCTTAGAGCCTGTAAGAATACTCCCTAAATTATCGTAAAAAAGTCAAAATGGCCTTATTTATTGCACCTAATTTTCAATACTTTAAAGAACAGCATCGTTTCAAGTTTTGAATATCATTTCACGAGTAAAAATCTTGAGTTTTGTGATGAAGAAGAAGAAAATGAGAACATTTTTAAATTATAATAAAACTTAGTCTCATACGTATAATGAATATGTAACTAAGTAAAATATCATACCATTATTCCCGTGCGACAGCAAAAGCGTGGTAGAGCCACGCAGCAGCTTTTGCTGCCTCACAGAATACCAGCGTGAAGTAGAGAGTTACCTCTGCGTTTCGCTTGGTGAGTGTAGGTGGCGGAGGCCTAATTCCTCCCCCCCCCCATTAACATGGTAGCGGAATTAAGTTACGAACTACCCCAGGAGCCAGTACCAGCACCCCTGGTGACGAAGAATCCCTAGCTGAACATCCACGGCCAAGTTATCGTACTCTGACTGAGCGTGGATTCTCAGGCTGCCCCGCGAATTCTGGGGGGGAGGGGGAGGCGCAATTCCGCTCGCGACAAAAACTACTCTGCTTGGGGCAAGCGGAGCAATAACATCAAGGCGACCCCTGCCACGCTATCCGTGAATTTTTGCAACATCAGGGGACTTCGTTCCAACCTTAACGCTGTCCGCTACCATCTGGAGGCGGCGAAGCCGACCTTGCTCTTTTTAACCGAGACTCAGGTCCTCTCCTGCTTATACTTCATATATCTCCTACCCCGGGTACAAATTAGTACATTCCTTTGTGCCCCTGGCTGGAGATTGCGTATACGTCGGAGAGGACATCTGTTTTCGATGTCTCAGCAGTCTTGAAGATACGGACCTGACCGTCCTATGGCTGCGCGTAGACAGCGATGACCATCCGCGCGTCTACGGGTGCCTCTATAGGTCCCATAGCGGTAATGCAGAAACAGACTGACTCCTTGACTACTTACAAATGTCTACAGATCCCCTCCGCAGAGATCATGATCCTTGGCGATTTTAACGCCGACCACGCCGAATGGCTTGGTTCACTTTTTAACCGATCATGCGGCGAGATCTGTTTATGACTTTGCTTTGGTATATGGTCTGACACAACTGGTTACTGCGCCTACGCGGATTCCAGATGTGGAAGATCATAAGCCTTCCCTGTTGGACCTTTTGCTGACCTCTCATCCGGTCGGATATTGGGTTTCCGCCGACGCCCCTTTAGGCTCGTCGGACCATTGTCTTGTCCGGAGTGGGGTGTGTCAGTCACATTAACGTCGCGGTTGCATTTTGCAGTCTGCCGCCGTGTTTAGCACCATAGGTCGGCCGATTGGAATGGGATGCGGTCTATTTTTGCATCCTACCCTTGGGGGCGGGTTTGCTTCTCACCGGATGATCCTAGCGTTGTTGCTGATTCTGTCGCTGATATGATACTTCAGAGTATAGAACTTTTTATTCCGTCCTCTGTGGTGCCCATCGAAGGCAGATCTCAGCCATGGTTTGGTTACTCCTGTAAAATAGCATCACGCTCAGTGGCGAAACTAGAACTCCAAGCTAGGGCAAGCCCAAGATATAAATTGATAAAGATATAGATTGTTGTTTTTAGCAGTTTTATAAAAATACGCCAATTTTGATCTGTCTCCACGCTTCAGTTTCATATTCAGTGCTGTCAAGGACGTGTTTAACAAAGCACACAGAAGGCATACCACTGCTAGATAGATTGTATTACATATCAGCAATTGCATAGCTTCGGTGGCTTTGAAGAAAGCCGTTTGGGTTTGTTTAAGTGAAAGAAAAAAATATTTAAATCCAATACTATACATGAACAAAAATGCATGCGGAGTTTACCTTTAAGTAATTGTAACACTTGTGTTAATACTTTTAAGCAATTGTATTAATTTGATGTGTTAGTTTTATCAATTGTTGATTAACCTAATAAAGAGAAAAAAAAAGTAAAACATGAACAAAGTACAAACAAACTATGTACAAAATTAAAAAAAAATTATTTACATTCTAATAGATAAGAGATAAGATAAGATAAGTGGAATCGTCTCGCTTTCTTATGGAAAGATTTAATTACGTCCACGTAAAATTTTGGTGAACGTTTTAATTGTACCAATAACTGTTTTTTAATTGCGATAATTGATAAGTCTGAAATACACTCTTAACCTTGTGTATTATCTCAACAAAGTTTAAAGATTTCCTCTCCAATTAGCACTTTAACACACTTCAATTCATCACAAGGAATACTATTATCTTCCATTTTTATTAAAATCTTTAATAAAGCATACATTTTGAACTTGTAATATTAAATCGCTTAAGATAAGCACACAGAGTAAATAAACATTGAAACGTGAAATGAACTTACAAACGTATTGCCCGCGCGCCTCCGCTTTTAACAAATTTTCTCCCAAAAGCCTGGCTTTAAATCTCTATACTAATTGCTATATATGCAATCGTAGTTATATTTCATTATAGAATATTTTGCCATAGGTTAGAAAGAGAGCGATCGTCTTCTCGAAAGCCCCGTAAAAAGCCCACGCGAGCGAGGGAGACAACTAATCGCTCTATTAAAACTCATTTTTTATGACAGCAGCAGTACCTCTAAGGCAATACGAGGTCATCGGTCGACATGTGTCGAACAATTGAGTACGCGGGAAATTTGAAATAGCTTGAAACATTTTACGAGTTATTTTATTAGTTGATATTATTGATTGATTCAGTTTTAATAAGGCAAGCCCGGCTTTTCGGCTTTTATGGAAGCTTCGCCACTGATCACGCTATCAACGTCTCGGGGTGTAAACACCAGCGCTCTTAAAAAGGAGTATAATTCCGCCTCCAGGTCCTTCAAAAGAGTGATTGCCAAGGCAA